ACAACCTAAAAGTTGCAAGTTAAGTTCAATTTGAAGATCTCACTGAAGACTATATAGCTCAGGGGACAGCTGCTCAGAGAGCTCTGAGGCCTGATCCTAGGAGACCAGGGAGTAACCAGGATAAACAGGGATTTTTCTTTCTCCACAGAGGGGGAAAAGATCAAAAGACTGAACATCAAAAGATTACTACTAATCACCAAAAAAAACCTACCCATATATATTAAGTTAATTGTTTTCACGACTTTCAACAAACTGTGGAAAATTCTTAAAGAGATGGGAATACCAGACCACCTGACCTGCCTCCTGAGAAATCTGTATGCAGGTCAGGAAGCAACAGTTAGAACTGGACACGGAATAACAGACTGGTTCCAAATAGGAAAAGGAGTATGTCAAAGCAGTATATTGTCACTCTGCTTGTTTAACTTATATGCAGAGTATATCATGAGAAATTCAGGGATGGATGAAGCACAAGCTGGAATCAAGATTGTGGGAAAAATATAAATAACCTCAGATATGCAGATGACACCCACCCTTATGGCAGAAAGTGAAGAGGAACTAAAGAACTTCTTGATGAAAGTAAAAGAGGAGAGTGAAAAAGTTGGCTTAAAACCCAATATTCAGAAAACTAAGATCATGGCATCTGGTCGCATCACTTCATGGCAAATAGATGGGGAAACAACGGAAACAACAGACTTTATTTTTGGAGGCTCCAAAATCACTGCAGATGATGACTGCAGTCATGAAATTAAAAAACGCTTTCTCCTTGTAAGAAAAGCTATGACCAACCTAAACAGCATATTAAAAAGCAGAGACATGACTTTGCCAACAAAGGTCCGTCTAGTCAAAGATATGGTTTTTCCAGTAGTCATGTATGGATATGACAGCTGGACTATAAAGAAAGCTGAACGCTAAAGAATTGATGCTTTTGAACTGTGGTACTGGAGAAGACTCTTGAGAGTCCCTTGGACTGCAAGGAGACCAAACCAGTCAATCCTAAAGCAAACAGTTCTGAATATTCATTGGAAGGACTGATTCTGAAGCTGAAACTCCAATATTTTGGCCACCTGATGTGAAGAGCTGACTCAATGCAAAAGATCCTGAGGCTGGGAAAGATTGAAGGCAAAAGGGGACGACAGAGGATGAGATGGTTGGATGGCATCCCCAACGTGATGGACATGAGTTTGAGTAAGCTCCGGGAGTTGGTGATGGACAGGGAGGCCTGGCGTGCTGCAGTACATGGGGTCGCAGAGTCAGACAGGACTGGGCGACTGAACTAAATGAACTGATGTATGGGAAGATGCAGAAATCTGTGCTGTTTGAAATTATTCCTTAGGTATGCATCTTAACAGGGCCAAGATCCAAAGCACAGAGTGCCTCCAGTTTTTCCTCCATACAAAAGTCCCTGGGATGGGGGCTGGGGGCTCTGCAGTGGCTGATGGCTCCACCTTTACAGAACTGTTGTGGAGGGAAACATTTCTTGCCCGCACCCATTCCATATAGATACAGTTATAAAAGATATTTTCCAACAAAAATTCTTTCTCTCCAGTTATTCTTGAGAATAACTGGTGAGTAACAAGAAACTTTAATAAGCATTCACCTTTTCAACCAGTCAACACAAATCCAAGATTGGTGTAATAAAGTGGACAGTCTCATCAATAGGCCATGTAAATAGATATAAATAGGAGAGCTCCAATGGCCTTCTTTAGAACATTCTCAGTGAAAGCATACAGAGGGCCTACAGACTGTAAGAAAAAAAAGGATGAATGGGGACTTTGTCAGACTGCGGGAGGGTAGGTGGGTGGGTAGCAGCTAGCAGGTCCATATTCCATCCCCCCACCTCTCTACCCCATCCATGCATCCGTCCATCCTTTCACCAGGCAGGTCCTGCATATCTCAGACGGTGAAGACTCCGCCTGCAATGCAGGAGACCCAGGTTCAGTCCCTGGGTCGGGAAGATACCCTGAAGAAATGAATGGCTACCCACTGCAGTATTCTTGCCTGGAGAATTCCATGTCCAGAGGAGCCTGGGGAGCTACAGTCCATGGAATCACAAAGTCGGACATGACCAAAAGACTAACACTACATATCTAAAGACCAGAGTCCAAGGAGTTTGACCTGTCAGGGTGCTCAGGTGCTGTCCTGCCAGGTATATCAGAATTCTCACTGTTGGTCTCCCCAGATAACCCACCTCCTGGGTCTTTTTACAGTACTGTAACTTGAAGACTTTAAATGCTGTTAAATGCAAAATACCACTGAGAGAGGTGATGATTTGCATTATAATGAATGCCTGATACCTTCCTTAGAACACGTTTTCACTGGGGGAGAAGGAAGGACAGGAGTGCTGAGGCTCCTGAGACAACTGTGTGTGGAGGAGACAGTGGCTCTGGAAGGCAGAAGCCCCCAGCGCCAACACCTCAGCTCCCACATTTCCTGGTGTCACCTATGCCTCTGCTCCTAAGGTGGTGCTGCTGTTGATCTTGTGTTTACTGAGTTCTCTTGCCTTTTGAATAAAAAAGTAGAAGAAACTTTCTGCCAATTAAACAACACTGCTGACTCAGAAGGGTATTATGGTTGGCAGATACTTTGTAGTCACTAACCAGACAACCAACTGGTTTGCCAGGTCATCTTCCAGGGCCTGCAAAGTTACCAGCAAGCATCTTCATTTGCAGAATAGCAGGATTTTGCATTCCAAAATATTTACAAGCACACAGGAGTGTACAGAAGAGAGAGCCGAAGCATACAAATCGGTCAGTCGAAGTACAAGGGAGCTCATGGGATGAACTCACATGGGAGCTCATCACAAAATTCTTGAAACTTTTCTGTAAATTAAAATTCTTTTCAAAAGTTTTTTTTTTAATTAAAAAAGTATTATCGTTTTCAAAAACCATTGAAAGGGAAATGGAGGAAAGGATGTATGGAAACCTTCAAATTATTTAGAAACAACTAAATTTAAGGAAACCATTTATTAGAACATGGGCTTCCCAGGTGGTTCAGTGGTAAAGAACCTGCCTGCCAACACAGGAGACGCAGGTCCGATCCCTGGGTCGGGAAGATCCTCTGGAGGAGGAAATGGTAACCCACTCCAGTTTTCTTGCCTGGGAAATCCCACTGGACAGAGGACCCTTGAGGGTCACAGTCCATGGGGTTGCAAAAGAGTCAGACACAACTGAGCAACTAAACAACAACAATTTACTAGAACAGAAGCAAAATGCCAGATGGGGCGGCTGGGGGTTGTCAACACCTGTGTGTGTGTGTGTGTGTGTGTGTGTGAGAGAGAGAGAGAGAGAGACAGAGACAGAGAGAGACAGAGAAATTTGTTAACCTCAGAAGGCTGTTAGTCTATCTCTGGACCACAAGAGTCATGCCACATTTTACTAAGTGGAGCACATAAACACGGAAAGAATGACTACCCACAATTGAGGGGAAGCAGAAACACCAGCCTAACTAAGATGAGTATAAATTTGGTGAGTCACTTCCTCTTAGGAGGAAAGGCAAAGATTTCTTGTCCCCCGACAGGTTCAGAGACTGAAAGATCACCTGAGTTCTCAGCCTGAGTCACGTCACAGAGGTAGCAAACCAGGTCGGAGGAGCCCACAGCCTCTCACGCAGAGCTTCTGCCCATCTTCAGTTCAACATCACCACACCTCTGATTTCAAAATCGAGGTCAACTCAAATCTCTCGGCTACTTCAGCCTCCACACTGCTAAGTCCCCCGGAGAAGACATGCAACTCAGACAAAGGAAATTCACACTTATCTCTCCACCTTGAGGGGGCAATGGCCTGGGATTTCTTCTGCTCATCACCCCCAGCACCCCCCAGGCCTGAAACCCAATCCGCTCAGTGAGGCTGAAGCTTTGTCAGGGCGGCCTCCGCTTCTGGAAGCCGCGTCCATGCCAGCCGCACACACACGTGGACGGATTAGGCAGGGCTGTGGTGCAAGGCGCACACACACTCGCCCAACGTGTGCCCTTCATTCCAGAAATACTTTTGACGCCTAAACCACCTCTATGCCTCCCTTGGCCTCAAACAGTCTAAGTGGCTGTACGCCAGAGGAAGTCTCTGTTTAAAGATGGGGACTTTTCAAAATTTCTTTACCTCAGGAGATCATAAATAGAACCTTTTAGCATAACTATGATGGAATAAAGTAGAAAAGGGAAAGAAAAAAAAATTTTGCTTTTTTTTCTTTTCCCTTAAGTGACCTAAAAGAAATACTGGAAATATAAACTATAACATAGAATTATCTTCCATGAGAGTCAAGATTACAGGGTCCAAGTTAGGATGAGTAAGCCAAAAGGACTACCTTGAACGGGAAAGGTTAGTGAGCATTTCATCTTCTGTGACAAGTGTTTATTCTTGTTTTAAGGTGGCTCCGTGGTAAAGAATCTGCCTGCAATGCAGGAGACCCGGGTTTGATCCCTGGGTCGGGAAGATCCCCTGGAGCAGGGCATGGCCACCCACTCCAGTATTCTTGCTTGGAGAATTTCATGAACTAGGAGCCTGGCAGGCTATAGTCCATGGGGTCGCAAAGAGTCAGACACAACTGACCAACTAACACACACACACACACCACACACTCAAAAGCAAGGTGCAGAGGGGTACTGTAATCATTGTTTTACTCTGGAATGTATTATATTTTTGTACTTTGCTTCTTTATGACTTCCATCCTGTATCAAAAACCAGTGTAAAAGAAAACCATTTTGGTTGACTTAGCTGTCTCTTCCTTTTCTCCACGCTCACTTTCAAATATTTCAGGTTCACTTACAACAAGGAGTGTGAAATCACTAACACTTTGCAGAAGCCTTGGGCATCACCAATTGAATTACAGAACACACTCATCCACCTACATACATGTACACACACACACACACACACAAGGAAAATAAACTTCAAGTTCCACAGTACATACACAGTATGCATACAATCACCTACCCCATTTCCATCAGAAAGGACCTAAAAGACACCTTAGAAATTCTGCTCCAGGACAGAAGGAGGAAAACTTACTTTCTTTCCACTTCTGGTGTTGACACCGCACTACAGAAGCCAAGCGACTCCTAGGAGAGAAGATTCGTAGGGTCAGTGCAGGCAGAACAGCAGGCTTCATCTCATTTTTACATAATACCACTTTTAAAAACAGACAGAAGCAAAAATAGATGATTAAAGTCACTGTGCTTACTTCGATCTGGGACCGCAGCTGAAGTGACGTGGGGCTGGCTTCGGGTTTCTCCTAAAACAGAACAGATGCTGGTTTAATGAGACTTCCAAACGTGGCACACACCAGAAAAGACAAATAATGTGTAAGAAGAGATGGGGGAGAGTTGGGAAATGCTAGGTTACAGTGGGAGGAGATAAACAGATTTTCTGAAAAAACTGTTCTTTTAAATGAGAGCCCTAGCCTTTTAAAAGTTTTCCAAATTACATCGCTTGACACTGGTGACAATTTTATTGCAGAAGAGAAAAGCACAATCTAACTGAAGAGTATGGAGAGTTAATGGTAAAATGATTTCCCGGATGAGACTGGGCCGTCACAAAGACACAGAATTTACTACGATCCATTTGTGTCATGAAGTCATAAAGAAGAGGCAGGGGATTCAAAGGATTTTAGAGATAAAATTACCGAGGATAATACTCTCATTTTACAGTTTTAAAAAAACTGTACCCCTTCAAAAGAAAAAAAAAAAAGATATACCAGTTACCTGTGATTAAAAAATATATTAAAATAAACAAGATAATGACATTATTAGAAGTGTTATGGCATACTATCGAAAAATGAGTTATATGAGCAAACAGAGCACCACACTGATATTTTTTCATAACTAGAGAAAAGCTTTAAATCTAAATATGTGCTAAAGCAAAGGTTCACACCAAAGTGTGGTCCAAGACCAGGGTGGTCCAAGATCAGTCCCCGGCTGATCAGTAAGTCATAAACAGGAAAATGGGCAGCTTTAGAGGAAGAAGTAATATCACCAACATTATACAAGCTTGAAATATCAAATTATGAAAGTTTTCAGATAATCCTATTGTGTTCTTAAAGATCACTACCAAAAAAAAAAAAAGATCACTACCTTCTTCAGGATTACATGGGTACTATATGAAGACTGTTTTCTTAGTTAACATTAGTCAGTTAACATTCAGGAAATGGAAAAAGATCATCTCAAATTACAAATTCTCACTTGCATCTAATTGCTTTTTTTTTCAGTTTGCCTATTTCATCTTTAACACAATTACAAGTCTAGACCAATATTTTAAAATGCAGCAATGAAATGTAACTCTGAACAAAAGTATAAATGTAAACAAGGAACAGGAATCTGGTACAAATATAGAAGATAAAATGAGTGTTGGAGTGGTTACATCTGAGAATGGGGTGATGTGGATAAGCAGACCACAGGAGAAAACTGTTTTAATGGACTGGCAACCCACTCGACTCCAGTTCCAGGACCTCATTTGCTATGAAGAAATATCAGAGTGGTGTGAAGTCCCACTGAACTTCTCTCTGGTTAACATTCTCCTGGTTTGTATTACCACTTTTGTTTATAATGATCAAATATATATTCTACCTTAAAACAATGTATGGAAATGTTTGAGTTACATTCTAAGTCTGATTGGTATGATGTCAGACTCAAGTGCAATCAACAAAAGGGACATGTATTTTGGAGGTTCTTGGTGCTTAGAAACCAATCTGATGCCCTGATATCGAACCTTTTAGCATCAGTGCATAGAGAAATTTACAAACTTCAACTGTAGGAAGTAAGCGAAGGTATAGTTTGCAATTTTTTCATCCTAAGTCTTCCCATTCAGGAGTTGGTATGGAAGCCTCAGAATTATGACACAACTCTATTAGTTCCTCTGAAATTTTCTCTGAAATTGTCCTTCTAGCACCCAAATCCATACCCATCAACACAAAGTAATGGATTCAACTCTTCCTGCCTCTGTTCTTAACTGTCTTGATACTCCAAGTCTCTACTTACAAGATAATGCAGATCCTGATAAGAAATTACCTGCTTTTATTGTACATTTTTATCTGCACTTTTCTAATAAATTTTATTTATTGGTGCATCATTTGCTACTCCACATAATAAACACAATATTTATGGTTTATTATGCAAAACGTACCCATTCCTCCATACAGAGCTGATGCTTGTTAACAATCATATTAAATGTTTGATGATCTGGAACTAATAATCTAAAACAATTCATTTTCACGTGTTAGTTTGTCACTTATAACAGACATTTGACTGTGCTGTAGCTACTTAGGAAATTGGTTGGGGGTGTAAGTTTGATGTATAATGTATTACAATTCACCCCATTAAAATAATGGACCCAGTTAGTTTCCATGCAGAACATCTGTTTCATCAGGAACAGAATATGTTGAACAGGAGATCTCGCACTGTGATTGTTTCTAGTGCTTTTCCACCCACAGAGCATGCCACAAATAATGTGATTCAGAGCAAACATTATAAATTTCATCTCTCAAGGAGAGATAACCATCATTATAATGAGGGATTTCTTAGACTAAATGTACCCTAAAGTAAAAAATACTACACAAGTGAGGAGAAGTTTGTAAAATTACCCACTAAGTTAAGGACCTATATGATGCTTGGTGAGAAAACAGAATGGGCTATTTGGCAAAATTCTACTATTATGATATTGATAGATGTCACATGATATTAACGACAAACATGCAAAAGACTACCATTCTGTCATGCACTTGTGAATATGATGAAAGCCTTGTGGGCCCACCATTGAGCCTAAGAAATAGAACATCACAATAAAGAGTTAAAGCTAGCAGGTACTGATGTACATTTGGATAAAACACCTGTGCAGAGCATGAGACAGGTTTGGAAATGTGTCATACACACTTGAGGGAAAAAGTGCTGGAGAGTTTTTTATTCTGTTTAGCACTAAAAAAGAAATAGATTTCTTCCACTGCACAATGTGGAATGAAAAGGTGTGAAAGAGCCAGGAAGAAAGAGCACCATGACTGGTGCTGTATGCACACATTAAACATACACGTATGCAGCAATAAGGGGTACTGCTGACATAATAAAGAAGGATGGATTCAGGTCAAAGTGGGCAGAGAATATGCAGATACACGGATGGACCTAGAGATTATCATTCTAAGTGAAGTAAGTCAGGTAGAGAAAGTCAAATACCTTATAATATCACTTGTATGTGAAATCTATAAAAATGATAGAAATAGACCTGTTTACAAAACAGAAACAGACTCAGAAAGCAAATTTAAGGCTACGTAAAAGGGAGGGAAGGAGGAATAAATTAGGAGCTTGGGATTAACAGATACACACCATTATATATAAAATACATAAAGAAAGGTCCTACTGTATAGCACAGGGAACTATATTCAATATCCTGGGAGAAACCATAATGGAGAAGATTCTATATTCTTTTCAAATAGATAAACACACACGCACATATATAACTGGATCACTCTGTGGTACACTAGAAACTAACATGACATTGTGAATCAATTATACTCCAACTTTAAAAAATTAAAAGAACTATTAAAAAAAAAAGAATGGACATTGAAAGGCTCCTTGACATCCTCCTTCCCTGTCCCATTCTCAGGTTAGGCTGCCCTCTTGTCCACTCCTAATTCAGCCAGAGTAATGAGGGGAATAAGCTATGGTTTTTCCAGCAGTCATGTGTGGATGAGAGAGTTGGACCATAAAGAAAGCCAAGCGCCGAAGCATTGATGCTTTTGAGCCGCAGTGTTGGAGAAGACTCTTGAGTCCCTTGGACTTCAAGGAGATCAAACCAGTCAATCCTAAAGGAAATCAGTCCAGAATATTCACTGGAAGAACTGATGCTGAAGCTGAAGCTTCAATCCTTCGGCCACCTGATGCAAAGAACTGACTCATTGGAAAAGACCCTAATGCTGGGAAAGATAGAAGGCAGGAGAAGGGGATGACAGAGGATGAGATGGTTGGATGGCATTGCTGACTCGATGGACATGAGTTTGAGCAAGCTTCAGGAGTTGGTGATGGACAGGGAAGCCTAGCATGCTGCAGTCCATGGGGTCACAAAGAGTCAGGTATGACTGAGCGACTGAACTAAACTGAATGAGGGGAATGACACCACCCTAACGGCACAAAGAGAAGAGGAACTAACGAGCCTCCTGATGAAGGCGAGAGAGGAGAGTGAAAAAGCTGACTTAAAACTCAACATTCAAAAAACGAAGATAGTGGCATCTGGTCCCATCACGTCATGGCAAATAGACTGGGGCAAAATGAAAACAGTGACAGACTCAGTAGTGAACGTGTGGAATTCTGACCACTAAACTGCCAGGGCATTCATTAGAAGGATTCTTAAACACCAATGATTGATTATTTCTGCAGTGGCTTCTATATTTCTGAATTGGTGAAAACACCAATGATTATTCCTGCAAAGGCCTCTGTATTAAGTGTGAAAGCACATAATACTTTTATATTTTTAAGCAGAATAACTATTCTAAAAAATTAAATCTGATAATAATAACTTTAGTTTTATCTCAACAATTAAAAACTTCTTAAGAGATATCAAAACTTAATTTCTCAAATTAGGCCATGCCCTGTTTAAAACACTTTCTTGAAGTTTAAAAACTTTCAATAACTAATGTCATAAAGCTATGCAAGCAGCTTATGTTTAACAATAAAGGTCCATGATGATTTTAGAAATAATCTCATATTCATAGTTTGACTGAAAGAAACCAAAGCATAGTACTATATAGTTTTTTTTTAAGAAAGGAACTAGATGACAAAAAAATTACTGGGGCAAAAACCCTCATATTCATTTCTTGTTAAATTGGACAATTTCTGGAAACCATTCCCTGAATGTTTATTATGTCTAACATGTATGTGCATGCATGCTAAGTCGCTTTAGTCATGTCTGACTCTGCAACACTATAGACCATAGCCTGCCAGGCTCCTCTGTCCGTGGGACACTCCAGGCAAGAATACTGGAGTGGGTTGCCATGCTCTCCTCCAGGGGATCTTCCCGACTCAGGGATCAAACCTGCATCCCTTTGTCTCCAGCATTGGCAGGTGGGTTCTTTACCACTAGCACCACCTGGGAAGCCCATGTCAAACACAAAAGCAAAAAAAGAAAAATGTTTCAAGATGAAATAAGTGGTTTCCTAAAACCAAAACATGAGAGCATGTATGTGTTTCCACCTGCTTGGGCATGTGCACACACACTCACACACACGCAACATACATACACACACCAACACAC